CTGGAAGAAGCCATGGGTGTTGGGGTTTCTTGGAAAAAAGGTGTTATGAAAGTTTTAGAGGGAGGATTTTAGAAGCGTTTCCCACAGACGGCGCCATTTGATGGAGTGCAATCCGGTCGGTCCTAGCTGTCAACGATCTTGCCTCTGACTGGAGCAAAATGTACCTGAAACGGGGAAGAAAGCGAGTGTCTCTGGGGAGGAACCCGGTGAGAGTGCTCCGAAGTTCAAGTTAGTATTTCCTCAAAGGCAAGATAAAAACCAGATGGTGCAAAGTTATCACGTATCTCCATTCTTGGGGGGGAAGAGGGCCTTTTATAACCATTTCGCGCACTCACTCCCAAGCTCCTGTCAGGTCGGGTATCCTGGGGGCAGACAACCGCCACTGCTCTCTTTGTCGGAGCCGTCTCTGTAACTGGAGGTAGCGGTGGCAGGTGGCCGTYGAAGTGCGGCTGTTAAGCGTCAGATCCTAAGTCAGTCAGGTGCGCCACCTCAGGATACGGACTCCTTTGGTGTCAGGTACGGTTGTTCAGTTCGGCGGCCTAGAGACGAAGTGTAGGAGTGGTGTGCGAGGTGAAGTCTTGAGTTCGGATAGAAGTGTGGCTCGAACTGCCCTGGGGTGGGCCAGTTCGGGTTGTTGCCCTTTGCGCTCCTCGTAAGGCTCGAGGTCAAAGGGAGAGTTTGAGCTCCTTTTGGGGAGTTCGGACCGCTGGTTCCTCCTCTCGGAGCTCGTGCCTTGAGCGTACTGCCGTGCCGAGCTGTTGCTCCTGCCTGGTCACCCTCGGTTGTTTCCACGTGTTGGGTGGCCAAGAGGTCAGGCCAAATCTTCCACCATCAGGATTGAAGTTTAGAGTTTGATTTGGGCGTCATTTACCATACCTGTGAATGGTTGGCTTGTTGGTGGTAGAGTTTGCCGACAATGCTAACTTGCATCGAGAAAGAGGAGGAGAAAAATCTTCAAATGCTTGAATTGATTACCCACCATTGAGAGGGAAGAAAATAGTTTTGTCAAATTATTTTTCAAAATATTTATTTTTATAATATTAAAATTAATTTTGTGCATTTAATGAGAGAATATACCTTAATATGAGATTTTAATGAGAGAGAATAGAAAAATAGTTTTATTTCTAATTGGTTTTAAATTTTATATTCCATTTCCATCATTAATAAAAACATTTCTTATTTATCATACTTATTATTGTTTAATATGTCGAATATATGATGTTAAAAATGTTTCCATTTTTTTTTAATTTCTATATATATTTTTTTGTATTTTATCTATTTTTGAACTTTATTATTTAATTGTGACAACATTGATTGACCCATTTGATCCGAAATGGTTTAATTTCTTACCACTGCCTAGATGAAAACACTATTTTTTAGGTAGATTTTAAAATTATGTTTTTATATTATTGGACTTATTAATTTATTATGTATGAATTTAATTAATAGAATTTAATGATGAGAAGAAATAAAGATGCCTTAAATATATGATTCAATGAAGGTGGATACAAATTAATACTTTAGGCATTAGATTTAATGAAATGAAATTGAATAAATTGAATATCTTATAATTGCATCTTTTTAATTCATTTAATATTAATAATTGATTACCCTTTTGCCCTTATTTTTTTTAATAAATTTAAATATAGAAGGACAAATTTTATACTAAAAAAATTCCAAAAATACTAGCGAAACTATTCATGCTTTTTAAAATTGTATAAATAATGAATCAATTCACCACAATGAAATGATCTCCCATAATATATTTTTGAGTGGAGAATCTTGAGTCTGAGGGTAATAGGCTACTGCCTACTGATACTTGGAAGGAGGGGATTTCATTTCGTTCACCATGACCATGAGGGAACTTTGGCAAAGGGTCAGTAAAAGAGAATGTTGAGTTGTGACTTTGAATTCTTGCTTGGGCCTGCTCTATGACCCAATCCAACATTTTTGGAGAGAACTTGAAAGGAAAATGTCATTGAGATTTGTGGTGGACTCAGAAGGCTTGGGCCTGACCCATTTTTTTTATTATGGGTCGGATATAAGTATGTTACGTTGTTTAGGGTTTTCTCTGTATGTATGAGAGGCAACTCATTTTTTGCCATCTTTATTAGTGGATTTTTGCTGTTCCATCGTCCATGAACCTGGGCCAATGGCCAAATCACGTAAATCATTGTGTGCCTTATTTCTTTCTTTTCTCTTGTTCCGCTTGATGTCTGTTCCTTTTCTTTTCTTTGTTTTTTATTTATTTTTGGGTAAAACCGAAACTTATATATCAAAGCAGGAACGGGATCTGCTCCTCCTCACACTTGAGCGCCTCACATGCACATCCACCGTGCATTGGGAACATCTCCCGTAGTAGGATGTGCGTGTGAGGCGTCCTATGTGAGAAGCAGATCCGGTCTCATCAAAGCAGAAAGGGTCAGTAAGAGTCTGCAAAAAAAAAAACACAGCTTGATGTCTGTTTGTGTTTCGTTTTCTTGTACCATTAGAATTTGTATACAACAAACAACCAAAGTGGAATTCAATGAAACCTAAATATGTTTTCTGATTTCAAAATCTCGAATGAATAGGTTTCTGAAGTTGGAAATATTCTGAATTTCGAATCTTTGGGCCCCATATTTTGAATTGGAATCATTGCTGGGTTGAAGAACATTTTCCTTTGGCTGATTTTGACCTATTATTCCAATCTGATAAATAGCTGAAATGTTGGGGAATACCCCTCAATGGCTATACTTTTATGATTGGGTATCTGAAGACCTTTTGGTGGGATCCATCAATTGATGGACTCCAAGAACATTAAGTAAACCACAGATTCTCTCCTTTCTCTCTCTCTCTCTCTCTCAGAAAACAAAAAAAAGTAGACCACATATTCTACCAAGCTTAGCTTACAATCTAAGTTGCCAATAGAACTTTACTCAAGGAGGGACCATAGAGGGTTAGAAGGAAACTCAATCTATCAAAGTAGCATAGATTCTGCTGCCGGAACCGTGGTTGGATCTTGACAAGGAATTGAGCCAAACCTTCAAGGTTAAAAAGCTCCAGAGAAAACTATGTAGGCTGAAGACATTTTGACTGTTGCAGTCAGAAGAACTGTAATTGTGTTCAAAGTTCAAACCCCCAGCGCAAGAACGTCATCAGAGATGTGCCTCCCATTTTCATCAAATATACTTCGACGGTTTGACCCACTTTTGTCCCCTCAACGTTCTCCAAACTATAACCATTGAAATGTAGAGTTCCTGCTTCAACAAGCCTACTTTTCATAGTAGATAGCTGTGGGCTCAACTCTGTTTTGATGACCACCTCAGTTGCCACTGATCCCAACTTACTCCTTCTATATGGTCTTCACTAGCTTTTACTATGAAACCTGACATTGATTGCCTTCGATTCCTTTAAGATTCTTTATGATTCATCACTCCCTCTTCTGATATGAAGCTCTCTGCAACTGATGATATTCCATTTGTTTGGATCACAGGCAATTGATCACCATAAGGGGACCCATCTAGCATAATTAGAAGCAATGAGAAAATTTTGAACAGGGTGGTGGCTAGGGGCAATCTCTGGAACCCATTCCCCGCGATAAATAATTCCCCTTAGAGAAGTGACGAAAATGAAGAGAAACTAATAATAGCTATGAAGAAGAAAATATACTTCAAAAACACCAAGGATTCAAGGATTACTGCGCTCTAAAACCTTTCTTGTTTGCTCCAACATCAATCCAATTTTTGCTTGAACTCATCGATGTTAGTAACAGAAAAAACAAGTTATTCATTTCAAATGTACTAGGGGCCATTTCTTGGTGGGATGGCAAAATCTCAGACTGACTCAGAGTTGAGTCTTAGAGGCCACTTTGTGCTAAAGACGCAGAGGTTAGGTCCATACAATTTTGTTTTTCCTTTTTATCTGAACAGGACACATTAGCATATAGTTAAAGTAATGAAATTGGACCTGTTAATACACGATTCCTACATCACTAGCCCAAAATACTGAAAAAAGAAGAGAAACCGGTGATAAAGTGAGATGTCATAATTGACATCTTTAACATTGTTAAAGTGTTTAATGTGATTTGTAAATATACCTTGTGGAGCTGAACCAATGGAAAAGTAAGTAGACACGTACGTCTTTAATATGGTTGGTTGATGTCGAGATTTAATGTGTGGTATTATTTATTAATGCATCATAGTAGATTATTTTTTCACTCAATTGTTTGTGGTGCAAATGAGCAAATTCATTTCACTAGTATAGAARTATGGGAGTGCAAATGAAAAGATAACAAATTCTGGTTAAATTTTGCTTAGGCTGAGTTTGGAAGGAGTACAAATACAAGGTTTTGCACTCTACATATTTGTATTTGAACTCCTTCCAAACTGAGCCTTGAGGTTTTACTTTAATTTTCTTCAGGCTTTTCTATACTCCATTTGTGATGCAAACAGAACAAGCTTTCATAACATACATGCTGATTAGGAAAAAAAAAAGAAGCCTGCATATCTTGAATAAATTCTGATCTTTCAATTGTCATTGCAGAACACTTGCTCTCCTATATGACTTCAGAAGGCCATGAAGTGGGAGAGGTGCCAGAGGTTGCCCCAACCAAAGTGCCCCCATGGGAAATTTCCCCTTCAATTTTTTCCTATGGCTGAGTTTGGAATGAGTACAAATACTGCAAATACATACAAAATAATACAAAGTGCAAGGTTTTGCACTCTACATATTTGTATTTGTACTCCTTCCAAACTGAGCCTAATGTACATTAAATTAAATACAGCTATAATCCTTTTTATAGAAAATTAATTTCTTTTTTAATACCATTTTCCATCTTTTATTAAATTTCGGTATTTCTTTCTTGTTCACTTTTTATTAGTAGATAATTCTGAACTAGATGATAAAAAATTTTCAACCCAATGATTTTTTTTTTGTTAGAAAATAGAAAAAAGGGGACAAAGGGAAAGAAAAAAAAAGATAAATAATAAAGGCTATAAGGCTCTCCAAGGCTTTACTAGTAATTGATCAGAGAAGATCTAGTAATAAAGTTCTTCAATAGAAATTAATGTGAACATGCCAGACAGTTTTGAACCTGGAGAAAGAGAGTATTCTAAGGTGACATGTGTCATCTCCATAGACTCAACATCCTTGTACATCTGGCCTCAATATATACACACAGAATACTTTCATGAGTTTGATATACTTGCAAACCTTAAAGAGTTGCATAATTATATTTTAATTTACATAATTTATAAGCCAGAGATCAGTTTCTGTCAAAACTGACCAAGGTCTGTGGTGCATGATATAGAGTTCAAACTTCAAACCCATCCATTGTTCATCTTGAAACAAAACCTCAGGCGCCAAAAAGCTTGGACACATAGATTGGCTCCTCTACCCTGCTGTTCAAGTCAAACTCTTGGCAGCCTGATTCCATTTCACTCTGATACTGGCTGTTAAGATCAAGCTTGTCTGTTAATCCTAATTTTGTGCACTGGCCACCGAGTTTCTCTTTATGGGTTGGTGATCTTTTAGCTGTTGGTTGATCAACAGAAATGTCATCAGAAATGGTGCTCCAACTTCTCTTCTGTCCGTGAAGCCGGTCGCTTGGATCGCTCTTGCACAGATGACCTTCATTTGGATACATCTCCATTAGTCGAGCCGCATTGGAATGCCTGTTACAGTCATGGGGGTGTCCAGACTCCAGCTTTTGTGAATTTTCATCTTTTCTCCCTGAGCTATCAGAGGACGTTAAAGAGCTGTCCATGGAACAATCCATGCCTCTCATTGATTGTTTCCCTACCTCTTGTAAGCTAAATCCTCCAGCTTCTGTTAGCCCTGAGAATGAAGAACTCGGGCATCGGTTGTCCACCATGGAGGCCAGTTGTGAGAGTTCAGCTTTTGCAGCTTCAAGACCCAGGGATGAAGAATTATATCCAGCAAGAGTTTCTTGTGCTTTCTTTAAAACTGACTGCAAGTACTTCCCTTGAGCTTCAATCCGTAGCTGTAAGTGTCTCTGCACCTAGAGGAGAAAACTCGTCATCTATTTTCCTTGCTGAGATATTGATACAAATGATTTTAAAATGAAGCTGGGTTTATGAAGAGCCTACCTCAATCTGTTCATGAAGCTTCTTCTGCACTTCCATTTGCATTTGTAGAGCTTGAGCTATCTTCAAGCTCCTGAAACACAGATTTCCATAGTCAGACCAGGCCTTATTAAAATTTCCTATCAGATTGATCCAACAGAAGAATGGAAGGAATCTCCATCTCTTACTCATTGATAGGTGTGGGGGTTCTACCAATCAATTCTCCACTGAAATAACCACCTCGAACTTCCTTGTCTCCATAGTCTGCCTCCATGAGATCTGTCATAGAAATCAGAAACACTGAAATGATGGAACAATCATGGAAATGAGTGATTCTAACCCAGCGATCTCACCTTCTTGCCTGCTGTCACTGTAGGATTCTGACTGCTGGCTCTTCCCAAGCCTGTATTTCTGCATAAAAAAACACCAATATATTATATAATTTCTATATTTTACATGGTTTGAATTTTAATGACCAGTAAACAGAAAAGGGAATGCCTGTAGATGGCTCTTTAGGTGGTACAAAGTAAGGCCAGGGACATCCATCACCCTCATCAGAGCCTTTGGTGTTGCCTCTGCCCAAATGAAAACGAGAAAAGAGTTAAAAACCTCATCTAAGGTCAGAAGATTTTACAGAAAGAAAGTTGAAGATATAATTTCGTATACATACTGTCTGCCCCTCCAAGCTCAGTAACCGCTACAACGAATCTTTGATGAAGTTCAGGAGTCCATTTTAGCCTGGGTTTTGCATCTGTAGAAAGAATCAAACCAATCTGTTGGTTTTGCATTTTCTGCATACCCATTTTAGTTTTTTTTTGAATCAAAACCACTTTGAAGAATGAGACGTGAACATAGACTTTGATTCTTAGGACACTTGAATGTGCCGCAGCTCTAGTTCTCTTTATAAATGAGGTTGTTGTTTTATCCCTCGTTCTCACTCCATATCTGGAAACAGTAAGTGGGGCTAAGCTGGAGAATATATGCAATTAGCTGTGGCTCTTCTTTTCTCCCATCTCCTCATTTCCTCCCCCCCCCTCCCCCTTCTTTTTTTTTTGGTTCTTTGACTTTAAAGGGGAAGAAAGAATCTTTGATCCAGCAAAAACAGAAAAAGCACCACGGTTTCTATTGAGTCTCAAAAGGAGAGAAAAGAAGAAAAGTGTATGTATTGTTTTCTTCTTGCTGTTTTCCCACTTCTCTCTTTACTTTCTTTATTTTTCTTTGATTCTCTGCTTCATTAGGTAGCCCCACCATGATGAATAATGGCTTCAACTTTTCTCACGCTAAGAAATTAATGAGAATGCTTTACATGATTTTTCTTTAACTGAAAGATAAAATCCAAGAAACATGTTTTCTTTTCCTTTTCCTATGGCAGATGTGGAGTGGGTGGCAGATTCTTTTTGTTCTTTCTATGGGGAAGGAATCAAAGAATCTAGTATTAGATTTTAAACTTTATCCAACCTATTTTAGTTAATAAATAGTGGATGAAGTCAGTTGGTTTCATGAAAATTATGGACAAATTGCACAAATGCAATTAGTCCCTTTTTGCTTTTTCCAATTTTCTCAGAAGTGGAACCAGAAAACAAATGTAGGGCTAACTAACATTCTAAATAGTCATGACAAGAGAAAACATAGGGTCCTGATTCTTATGGACTGTTGAAGCACATTCAGATGGACAGCTTACTTGTAATTGTAGTGAAGATTATTGACCTTTATCAGGGAATAGACATAGACCCATCTGATCTACGAAATTTTGTGTAGTCTGAAGAAATACCCACAATCTAAGAAGGTATAAACCAGATGGTTAGGTTGATGTGGGGCCGAGAAATTTCCTACATCGGGTACCATCATGGTCGGCCTCTCCCCTTTCTTGTATTGCATACTGCTTCTGCTTATATAATCCATATCTGTAGTAGTGTATAAAAATCTGGATTTGAAGAATATCCTAGACAAGTAACAACCTCTTTGCACACTGGTAAAACCTTCCCCATATCCTCTCTCTCCATCTCCATAATGAAAAGAACGGAAAGGGTAAACGAGAAGGGAAAAACATTGAGTGAAGGAACTGTAGTACATATTCCAAAAGAATGTACATTTCTTTTTCATTGTCAGGGGAAAATAAAAGAATCTGCGGAATTAAGAAAAATAGAAGAAAAGAAAAGCAAATCCATGTATACGTATTGGTGCAACGTTTCACATTTGTACAAGAAAAGAAAGTCCAAGTATCTGAATTGAACCCATGAAACTGAAAGTTATTTCACAAGAGCTTTCTTGGGGGCCGGATCCGCAGATCGTTACATATTAAAAAGTTCACCAATCAACCAAGACAATTAATTAATTACTGGGTAGGTACTCTGTGCCTGTTAGTTTGAGCTTGTGAGAAGGTTGGTGGGTGTCTGGAATACGTAGGGTCCTTGTGATGTTTATGGAAATGAATGGAGCTAAAAACTAACTGAACCAAAATCCGATTGAGGCTGTGACAGACATAGGATGCTGTCTGTGTCTGATGGACATGGCCAACACCCTAACACCCTAAACCATGTTTCCTCTGCAGGCATGCACACGCTTGGATACGGCAAAAGGGGTGGGCTCTGAGCTTCTGATCAAACACTTTATTTAACAGGAAACCTACCGATACGAGTTGCTTTGTTATGAAGCTTCGAGATCAGGGAAAAAGTCAAAAATAAGAAACGTATTAATTCCAAGGAGGGTCTTAGCCTCTTAGGTTCTTAGCTTTTGGTCTGTAACCCATATTTAACTAAGAAGAAGAAGAAGAAGGGTTGATTAGATTAGATTAGATCGATCATCTTATTTTATCGGGTTGCGGTGCCGAGTTTGATGTCCAGAATCAGACCTCAATGATTGATCTCCAAAGTGCTGCCATCTTAGTGCCATACATTCAGTTGGTCTGCTGCATCGACAAACAATCAAACAACTTTCAGTGATTCAAAGTATTATCATTGAAAAGCAAGCATAGGAATTAGGAACGAGGAAGCAAGTAATGAAGGAAGTAAGGATGGAGCCGAGAGGAGGATGTCAGTTTCCATGGTTAGTTTGGTAATTTGGTGAAAATATTCCGAACATAACGTGATCCAAAATGTTACTGGCCAATTGTTGTGCTGGCCTTGCATCATTCCATTAACTGATCACAAGACAAATCAAATCAGGGAGATGCAGGTGGGTTGGGGGTTGGGACATAAACATTGGTGATTGGACAGGCCCACATCCACACACAGTATATCCCCCGGTCGGCCCAACACTTGGAACCACTACTCTAATTTCTTCCTTGCAGTTGTTTCTTCTTCTGATTGATTGATTGTGTAGTCTGTACAACAGTGGATCGATCATACTTGGTAGAAGATCAACTGAGTTGGGTTGGGTCACTAAAATGGTGGGCCCCATCATGTAGGATGTGTTGTGGTTGTTGTTCCTAATCCTATCCTCTTCCCCAAGATGCAAATTCTTGCTTCATACCGGAAATTGTGAAGTGAGATACCAAGTTACCAGAACTGATTGATGGATGTGAATTACTTTGTTGGTACCCATTGTCCAAACAAACCTAATGGAATCTGATTACTGAGAAGCGTGTTGTTATCCATGGCCCAGAAGTTTGAAAATTGGAAAAAGGAGAGTGATTGAGATACCTTTCTCTTTAACCAGCTGTTGTACTTAGAGCTACTTTTCTCACTTTAATATATTCCAAAACAAGTAAAGGAGATTCTAGGATGATGCCAGACAAGCTCTTGCATGCTTAGGATGTATAGCAGCAGGAGAAGGTCCGGTGAATCAAAAGACCCATAAGCAATCAATCCATTGAATTAAGAAAAAAAAAAAAAAAAAGAGAAGGAGAGAACACTAACAAAGGTACGTAGCCCATCAATTATTGTTGTCAAAGGGGCCCATTAAGGGAGATCATACAATCCAAAACCAAAAGCATGGAGAAAGAAGATGAAAAGAATATGGCTTCAGGAATCAGGAAAAGAGCAACAAAAGGAACGTGTCAGCGTCCCACCCCCCCTCAAAAAAAAAAAAAAAAAATTAAAATATATTTATAATACCATTACAATTTCATGGATGTCATAAAGCCACCTGCCACAAATGATGTGAGCAATATGTCACTCCGAATACTGCTTATTTATCATATTACTTAAATCAGAAATGCTAATAAAGCTGGAGTAGCTCTGCTGCCAGGGCTTAATTTCGTCGTGAATGCATGAAGAAGCATCTGTGCTTGTTCTGTGAGAAGGACTATACAATTATACAAGGGACAATGTGTTTGTGTTTATGTTGCGGGAACTGCTGTCTTGTCCTTTTTTTCCCTCCCTCCCTTATCGTTAAGAGTATTTTTTTTTTTTTCAACATCTGCTATGGATCATGGTCTAAGCATCTTTCTTCTTTCTTGACTAATGATGGCTGCGGCAGATGTGAGCTCCACTACCCTCTATAACCTTTGATTCTCTTTCTCTCCAATTCAATAAAAAGATCAGCTTGAATATTTGACAATACCCCTCAGCTGGTCTCAGACCATTTCCTTCAATTCCTGTGAGAAAGTGTGAGCACCTTAGTACCCAAGTGAATTAGAGGTTAAAAAAAGTAATAATTAAAATAAGATTAAAAAAAGATAGGTCTTCGGTATATTTGGACCCATCCAATTGGTATGATGCATGGAATATTTCAAACGTAATGTGGGGCCTATACATTGAGTGAATTTATCCAAATGGCGATTATACTTATAAGCCTCGTAGGAACATGGCCCACCAACTTAATTACTTATTGATAGAGAGTGAGTTAAACTCTTTAGAACCATCAAGTTGGTTAAGCTTTGGCATATCCCCAACGGTGTCTGATCATCTGGGTCAACGGCGGTTTGATAATCATGAATAAAAGATGCATACATATTCCCTCAAACCATGCAAGAGGGCAAGACCTACTGATTTCTATTAACAAGACCCAAACCTAGGATAAATCCATTCCTAACAAAGCCTTAGACATTAAGCTAGGCAAAGGCCTCACTAGTCACTAGAATAATGCAAAAAGTTCAAGGTAGAAATTTTTTTTCCATATAATCCAAAACGACAACTATTTGTTCATATAATAATTTAATTTATACAAATTCAAAATTCTAATAGTTAATATATAGAAACCATAATATCAAGAGTATAAGGGTTCTTTTCTGATCGGACTGATTAATTACATAAGATGGAACCTATATATGCCTCTCTATGGCTGGTGGGAAGAGCAGAAAGAGGTCTCGAATGGCGGCTAAACCCTACAAAACCCAAATAACTAGACATGCTTAGCATACCATAAGGGTGACCATTCTTAGCCTGGTCCAGGCCCAGCCTGGAATTATAATATAGAATTTGTAGGCGTGGTCCAGCCAATGAACACCCCATACCCCGGTTGATGTGATATATGATAACATTAGAGGGAGCAAATTGGTTGGGTTTCCTAATTTGAACAATTTCAAAATTTCAACATCTAATACCACCCATGCTAATTGCACAGACTTCAAGACTGTAGTACTTCACTGCACAATACATGTAAATTATACTGTAGGAGAATCACTAAATTTGGAAAGATATTAGTAAAAAATAGTTTAAAAACTAGAAACAATATCATGAAATCTGCATATTGGGTGGGATTACAAGTATCTGTATCTATGCCCTTGATGTCAATAAATCAGAAGAAATATCTCACTTCTAGTACCTGGGCCTGAATTTCTTACAGTATTGAGTCCCCTCATGCTGGAACTTGGGGCTTAGGTGAAAGGAACCTGCAACAATGAATCACTGATTATCTGGGAGTGGATTCTTCCACACAAGAAAAGATGATGTTTGCAAGTTTCACCCAATTCCTACATGGTCTCACTTTTGCAGTGAAGGAACTGTTAAGGATACCAATCTTGAATGCTCAGTACCAAAGGATTTTATTTTTTATGAGTTCAGTTCCAACTGCCAAGACAACTTTGATTTCAAGACTGCTATTTGCTGTAAGTTATCAGCAATGAAGACCCCAAGCAGGAAATTCTTTCATACAATGGATT